CTTCTACAGGAGAATCTCCACTACTGAGCCTTACCAGTCTACCTCCCCACCATCGCCTTCAATTGTTGGCTCCAAAGGAGACCTCTGTGACTTCACAGATAATATCCTTTACCTTTTGCTTGTACTTTCTAGTATAAATCACCCAACCATCCTTTGCTGACACTTTAACAGCTATTACTTCAGCTGCTCAACACATTTTTTCACATGGTCTCTGTCCTGTCACCCTCTACATTTATTTCCACTCGCCCTAATAGCCTCCACTGCTGCCAAAGGCCTTGCAAGCTGCGCTGAATGACTGGACTTACTGTGAAAGATTCTCCCTTGCATTGTTCTTCCTTCTCCAGATAGGATGTTTTTCTGCTATCAGTTGCTTGTCATTGTCCATTTAGTTTAACCTTACCCCAGCAATGATTCAAGCCTTTCATACTATTGTATGGCAGTTTTATGTAAAGGAAAAATCTCAATGCAATACCTGAACCTATTGTCACCCAGCAGGATGCTCCACTTCTAACTATATTCCACCTCCCCAATCTAATTGCATTCGAGCCTGTCTCCTATTGTGCCTATTCTATGACCAAACACATGTTTGCTTTTATGCAGGCTGTCCATTTTGGCCATGCAAATTCCATATTGGTAGATAAGTATCCCCATACTCCCAGACACAAACTGCACCTTTATAACACATTTCCTCGAGTACTTTATATACATGTGAGGGACCACAAAGCAGTAGGAGGACAACCCCTCAAAAGGGTTGCTTCTACCTTCATAATGCTATCTCTCCCCCAACTGGGGAAATATTCAAACAATCATGTCTAAGGTATTTCATTTAACGTTATAATGAACCTTAAGGCAACTATTACATTAGCCTGGGTCAATGTTCCCAGGTCCAGAGTTTTACCAGAATCTCTGAAAACACAGTTCATCACATTGTTTTTGCTGCTGCAGAAACAAACATTATGATATTGCAAGTTAATATGGTACAGGCAGATAAATCATTGTTATTGCGTTCATACCATGTTAAACAGCTAAGGGAAGCAAGCTTGTAAGAGGGAATCCTTTTATCTCTACAGATTCAGGGTATCTCCGGGATGACCCCTAGTTTGGCACCGATCTAATTCGTCTCTCATACGCAGGCCTAGATCTCACCAATCCTCGTGTAGTTCCATTCCTGCCCTAATCTATCCTACACTTCCGGTTTCAGAGGAACTTCCGGTTGCTGTTACTATGGTTGCGAATACGGAACCAGAGAAGGTATCAGAGACTGGTAGATAGATACACAACGTGCCATAGTGGTGATCAGAGTCCATCTTGTGGGCTTTGTGTTTCTCTATTCTGACTTTCCCAGCCGATATCTCCAGGGTCTGAACAGAAAAGGTGTCGAAAAGAAGATTTTCTGCTACTTGTCAGTGACGTTGGGTCTCCATGGCACGCAGGTAACAGTGATGCGCCTTTTGGTGATCCTAATTGCCTCTCCCGCCTCCCCTCATACTTCAAAAAAGACACTGGGAAACCTTTCCATAGAAAATAATTTGTCTGTCCCTTGTGAGCAACACATTCGTCCTGTAAGAGAGACTGCTGCCTCTTAGAGGTCAGCGATCCTCACCATGTGGAAGTTATCCCTTTGGATTTCCATATTAAGCTGATTTCTTTGGAGCTGGCTAAATACTCTCACATTCGCATTAAAACAAAACAAAACAACAAGAAAACTTCTTAGAATGTTCCTCTCTATCTCTTCCCCCATGTTTTTTTAACTTGTTAAGATTGTTTCCCACCGTTCAGTTTTCTAGTTTTCCTTCCTCCCCCTTTTCTCACTCCCCAATTTCCCCTCCCTTAGTAAAACTTAGTATACTCCCTTAGTAAAACTTACAAGTTTAACTTTCTGACATTTTAATGTATCATGACATGACAAGTATAGGCAGAGGTAGAAAATCTGGTATTGTATTTTAGAAGTATATTTATAAGTTTTATTGGGAATGCTACTTTTATTCACAAATAGGGACACATACTGCATAGTACCTTTACTTCTCAGTATCCTAATTTCTTCTGTGTAGTTCATGCATGTCTGTGTATATACATATATATATATATATAGTTATACAGTATATAAATGCAGTATACACACACACACACACATATTGTTGGGTGTCTCATTTCAGACAGAACTATGATATTTGTCCTTTAGGGACTGCGTTACCTCACTAAGCCTAATGGTTTCCATTAGGATCATTTTGTTGCAAACAGAAGGATTTCATTCTTCTTCATGGCCGAATAATATTCTATCAAGCAAATGTACAATGATTTTTTTGTGCATGCCTCTGTTGACAAGCATCTGGGTTGATTCCATGTCCTTCCTATTGCAAGTTGTGCTGGTAGAAATATAGGGATGCAGTTTATTCTCTTGAATGCAGATTTCATTTTCTTTGGATATATTACTGGGAGTTCAATGGCTGGGTCAACAGTAAATTAATTCTCAATTGTCTGAGCACTCTTTCACAAAAGTAGATCAGTGTAGCTGTTCCTCCACATCCATGGCATTCAAGCACTATCATTAAAGCTGATCTCAGTATAGAAAATTTGCTAAGCTAGTGAATGTAGCTAAAACTAATCATATCCTCTTTATCATCCATTCATGATCATTAGAAATATTTTTTCAAAATTAGAGTGCAAAGGTTTCATTAATAAGTATACATAAATCAAAATCACTACATTATTCTCTTTTTTAAAATATATTTATTACACATATATATATATTTTTGCAAAGTCAGATATACAGAGAGGAGGGACAGAGAGGAAGGTCTTCTGTCCAATGATTTATTCCCTAAGTGACTGCAATAGCCAGAGCTGAGCCAATCCAAAGCCAGGAACCTAGAGATTCTTCCAGTCTCCCACACAGATGCAGGGTCCCAAGGCTTTGGGCCGTCCTCTACTGCTTTACCAGGCCACAAGCAGGGAGCTGGATGGGAAGTGGAACTGCCAGGATTAGAACCGGTACCCATATGGGATCTGGGCGCATTCAAAGTGAGGACTTTATCCACTAGGCTAGGCCATACATTATTTTCAGCATACCACTTAAAAATCACTTTGACAAACTGAAAACTGACTTTCATATACGTTCTTTTTTTTTTTAATTGAACATTAAGACACGGTAAAAATCTCAAAATATTCTACAACCTTAACCTTGTAGATTCATGACGCTGGGAGATAGGTTACATGCTTCTTGCACTCATTTTTCCTAACCATTTTTGCTAATATCTGTCACTAAATAAATGCTCAAAGAAAGCTATTAAATAAAATGCTGAATGTTTGTAATCACAGATTTATCTTTTATATATGTTTGAATACATTTTTATGTTACGAGTTAGTGGTTTCAAAACGTTCGAGTGTAATATATATACTGGTGTTGCAAGATTTTTTTAATTGAATTTTATGTTCACCATTTTAAAGTGTAATGAGAAATTATTTTATTAATTTGTCTTGGCTTAATGAAGGTAGTTTAGCTGATTGGTAGCAGACTCAGGACAGAGTCCTGGCATTTTCAGACTTAAAACTTTTTCCTTTATGCCACAGCAACCTCACTGTGGCTTAAGGGAATAAAAGAACACAAAATGTCTTAGGCAGCTATGGTGCATGATTTGCCATCCCTCCACAAAATCAGACATCAGCAGATGGGTTTTCCTGCCCAAGGATCTTGCCCTGGGTGAGACAAATTCATGGAACTGAGTCTGTGGAAGGCATCCCACTGTTACTTAGTCCAGTGGTAAAACGCCAGTCAGTCGAGCTTACTGTATGGGATTACTGATTTTGGTCATGACGGAGGTTCAGGGAGTGAGCGTAAAGAAAATGCACTAAATGTGAACTTAGGATCTCAATTAGCAACATGCTGTTGGAATGAAGGCACGTATGAAGCCAGCTGGATATTACTGCAATGGGTTTTTCATCCACAAGTCCAGAAAAAACTTCTCAGGTTGCTTTCCATGCCTCACATAACTGAAAAAGAAATTCCCTTTTTTTTTCTTTCGCTACCTAGACCTTACTTGTTTACAGGCAGAGAATCTGATAGATACATCCAACTTCTGGTTTTTGTTATATACATAAAATGGACAAATTTCACACTTACTGCAGTACAGACTTAGGATCTTAATGATACTTCCCACCCTACCCTATGTCCTGCCCACATTCCCCATGCTCCCTCCCCCTTCCTTTTAAAATGCATTTTAAATGAAAGCACACTACTGTAAAAATAATTCACATACTTAACACAGAAAAAGTTTCCTTTCAAACAACACTGTACAAAAATCATCCAGATTCGCTTATGCTGGCAATTTGTTTAGCATAAAAGCCTTGTTGAATTTGGACCTAGAGTTCTGCACTAATCTCTTCCTGTAGGTTTCCTGAAGGACTTTAGCCAGGCCTCAACGGAATGTCCATTCTAGGGCCAGCTCCAGCAGCCTTACTTGTTTACACCCCAAGTCTGGACTGACTGATGTCTCCACTTCAAGAGAAGGGCTCAGGCACATGAGCAGATGGCCCAGGGAGAAGGAGGCAGACAGAGCATAGCCACAAAGCCTCCATACCCAGAACAGGAAATGCTCTCTTCCAGTTCGTATCAGAATTTTATTTTGGGTGAATGGGGCTTATTTTCCTGCTTTAACAAGGAGTTTGACATGCCAATCTTCCAGACATAAAAAGAAGATTGGAGAGAGGCTGCATCATAAAACTGAGGAGGTTGGGGCCATCTTCAGAATTACCAAACACAGAGGAGTGATTCCTAAGCAGATAGGTAGGGAGAGTGTCTGAATAGCTTGGGGATGTTGCAAGAGTTAGAATGTAAACACTGCAATCTCATTATTGGGAGTGGACTTGGGGATGAAGATGCAATGCGAACAATGGTGAGGAAGTCATTTCTGGGAGGCAGTCTGCTCTGGTGTCCTGTTGACAGTCCAGTGAAGCAGCTCCCATGTCATAATCATAGTTGGCATGGCAACCGTGATTGCCTAGCAGAACACCAGAGCAGTCAGTCTCTCTGTGCACTCTCCATTTGCCAACAGTAGGCACTGAGTGCCACACGTGTTTGAAATGCTGTCATCTGGAAGGTGCTAAATCACTTAGCCTGTAATTGACTTTTCAGTGAATGAAGAAATGACTCTAATTAGGTAGACTTAGGGAATTTAGCTATGGAACTCTTCCTAGTTTTATTGTTCTAAAGATTTTTTTTTTGGATGACAGAGTTACAGAGAATCAGACAGCCAGAGAGAGACTAAGGGGGGGGGGGGAAGGGGAAGAAAATGGAGGGAGAGATTGAGAGAAGGGGGAAGGAGAGGTGGAGAAGAAGAAAGAGGGGTAAGGGAAGAGAGATAGAAGAAGAAGGTGTGAGGGAAAGGGAAGGAAAGTATGATGGAACAGGGAGGGAGAGGGAGAAAACAAAATGGAGGAAGGAAGGAAAGGGAGAGAGAGGGAAGGTGAGGGAGTAGGAAGAGGAGGGGAGTGAGAGGAGCAGAGGAAAGAGAAAGAGACAAAGGGAGCGAGAAAGGAAAAGGGGAGGGTGAAATAGGGAGGTAAAACATGGGTGGGAAGGGAGGAGGGAGAGACCAGAAAAGAGAGAGGTAAGGAAGGGGGAAGGGAGAGGAGAATTCACTAGAGAGGGAAAAGGAGGAAGTATAGAGGAAGGAGCAGGAGAGAGGTGAAAGAGTGAGTGGGGAGAAGGGAAAGGGAGGCAGAATGGAAGGGAGATTATGAGGAAAGGGGAGGGAAGGAGGAGGAAGAAAGGGAGGTAAGGGCAAGGGGGCAGGGAAACAGTGAGAGTAAAGAGGAGGGAGAGAAGGAGGCTAATGGGAGAGAGTGAGAAGGAAAGATGAAAGGAGAGAGGGAAAGGGTAGGAGGAGGAAGGGTGGTAATGGAGGAGGGAGAGTGTGGGAGGGAGGGGTGAGGGAGAGTGTGGGAGGGAAGGGAGGAAGGAGCATGGGGAAGGAGCCAAAGTGTAGAAGGGAGGGGAGGAGGTGGCATGTGAGAGAAGGGAGGAGGTGCATGTGAGAGAAGGGAGGAGGGAAGGCATGGAAGGGCAAGGAGGAGGGAGCAGGTGGGAGGGGAGGATGGAGAGTGTGGGAGGGAAGGGAGGAATGAGCATGGGGGAGGAGCCAGAGTATATGAGGAAGAGGAGGAGGTGGCATGTGAGAGAAGGGAGGAGGGGCATGTGAGAGAAGGGAGGAGGGGCATGTGAGAGAAGGGAGGAGGGGCATGTGAGAGAAGGGAGGAGGGAAAGCCTGAAGGGCAAGGAGGAGGGAGCAGGTGGGAGGTTAGGGAGGAGGGAGCAGGTGGGAGGGGAGGATGGAGAGTGTGGGAGGGAGGGGAGGATGCAGAGTGTGGGAGGGAAGTGATGAAGGAGTATGTGGGTGGAGGAGCCAGAGTGTAGGAGGGAAGGGAGAAGGTAAATAGTGGGAAGGAAGGGAGGAGGTGGCATGTGAGAAAAGGGAGGAAGGAAAGTCTGGAAGGGGAAGGAGGAGGGAGCAGGTGATGGGTTAGGAGGAGGGAGCAGGTGGGAAGCTAGGGAGGATGGAGAGTGTGGGAAGGAAGGGAGGAATAAGCATGGGGGAGGAGCCAGAGTATATGAGTAAGAGGTGGATGTAGAGTGGGAAGGAAGGGAGGAGGGGGCATGTGACAGAAGGGATGAGGGGCATGTGAGGAAACTGAGGAGGGAAAGCATGGAAGGGGAAGGAGGAGGGAGCAGGAGGGAGGTTGGGGAGGAGGGAGCATGTGGGAGGGGAGGATGGAAAGTGTGGGAGGGAAGGGAGGAATGAGCATGGGGGAGGAGCCAGAGTTTAGGAGGAAGAGTAGGAGGTAGATAGTGGGAAGGAAGTGATGAGGTAGCATGTGAGAAAAGGGAGGAGGGAAAGCCTGGAAGGGGGAGGAGGGAGCATGTGGGAGGTTAAGGAGGAGGGAGCAGGTGGGAGGGGAGGATGCAGAGTGTGGGAGAGAAGTGATGAAGGAGTATGTGGGTGAAGGAACCAGAGTGTAGGAGGGAAGGGAGGAGGCAAATAGTGGGAAGGAAGGGAGGAGGTGGCATGTGAGAAAAGGGAGGGCAGAAAGCCTGGAAGGGGAAGGAGGAGGGAGCAGGTGACGGGTTAGGGAGGAGGGAGCAGCTGGGAAGCTAGGGAGGATGGAGAGTGTGGGAGGGAAGGGAGAAAGGAGCGGGGGGGTGGGGAAGGTAGATAGTGGGAAGGAAGGGATGAGGGGCATGTGAGAGAAGGGAGGAGGGAAAGCCTGGAAGGGGAAGGAGGAGGGAGCAGGTGGAGGGAAGGAGGGAGAGTGTGGGATGGAAGTGTGGAAGGGCATGTATGAGGAAAGGTATGAGGGACAGGGTGGGGGAGATGGGATAATAGAAACTAGGGGCAAAGGGAGGAAAGTGACTGGGAGGAACAGGAGGATAGAGACACAAAGAAAGGACAGGAGGGACTGGGAATGCAAGCAATCAGCAAACAGGAGGAAGAAAGTGTGGAAGGGGAAGGAGAGAGAGAGAAAAGCGGGAGTGAGAAAGATGGAGAGGAAGGCAAATAAGGGAGGGAACTAGGACAGAAAAGGGAAGGAGCGAGAAAGAAGGAAAGAGAGGGAGGAAGGGGTGTGAGGCAGGAAGGAGAGAGAGAGAGGAAGGGGAGAGAGGGAGAAAGGGAAGAGAGGGAGAAAGGGGAGAGAGAAAGGAAGAGAAGAGGGAGGAAGGGGAGAGAGGGAGGAAGGGAAGAGAGGGAAGAAGGGGAGAGAGGGAGGAAGGGGAGAGAGGAAGGGGAGAGAGGGAGGGAAGGGGGAGAGAGGGAGGGTAGAGGAGAGAGGGAGGAAGGAGAGTGGCAGGAAGGGGAGAGTGGCAAGAAGGGTAGAGGGAGGAATGGGAGAGAGGGAGGAAGGGGAGAGAGTGAGGAAGGGGAAAGAGGAAGTGGAGAGAGGGAGGAAGGGGAAAGAGGGAGGAAGGGGAGAGATGGTGGAAGGGGAGAGAGTGAGGAAGGAGAGAGAACAACGGAAGGGGAGAGAGGGAGGAAATGGAGAGAGGAAGTGGAGAGAGGGAGGAAGGGGAGAGAGGGAGAAAGGGGAGAGAGAAAGGAAGAGAAGAGGGAGGAAGGGGAGAGAGGGAGGAAGAGAAGAGGGAGGAAGGGGAGAGAGGGAGGAAGGGAAGAGAGGGAGGAAGGGGAGAGAGGGAGGAAGGGGAGAGAAGAACGGAAGTGGAGAGAGGGAGGAAGGGGAGAGAGGGAGGGAAGGGGGAGAGAGGGAGGGTAGAGGAGAGAGGGAGGAAGGAGAGTGGCAGGAAGGGGAGAGTGGCAAGAAGGGGAGAGGGAGGAAGGGGAGAGGGGGAGGAAGGGGAGAGAGTGAGGAAGGGGAAAGAGGAAGTGGAGAGAGGGAGGAAGGGGAAAGAGGGAGGAAGTGGAGAGAGGGAGGAAGGGGAAGAGGGAGGAAGGGGAAAGAAGGAGGAAGGGGAAGAGAGGGAGGAAGGGGAGAGAGGGGGAAGGGAGAGAAGAACGGAAGGGGAGAGTGGCAGGAAGAGGAAAGAGGGAGGAAGGCGAGAAAGGAAGAAAGGGAGGAGAGAGAGGAAGAGGAGAGATGGAGGAAGAGGAAAGAGGAGAGAGGGAGGAAGGGGAGAGAAGAACGGAAGGGGAGAGAGGGAGGTAGGGGAGAGAAGAACGGAAGGGGAGAAAGGAAGGAAGGGGAGAGAGGGAGGTGGGGGAGAGATGGAGGAAGGGCAGTTAGGGAGGAAGGGGTGAGAGGGAGGAAGGGGAAGAGGGAGGAAGGGGAGAGAGGGAGGAAGGGGAGAGATGGAGGAAGGGGAGATGGAGGAAGGGGAAGAGGGAGGAAGGGGAGAGAAGAACGGAAGGGGAGAGAGGAAGGAAGGGGAGAGGGGGGGGGGGGGGAGAGATGGAGGAAGGGCAGTTAGGGAGGAAGGGGAGAGCGATGAAGGGGAGAGAGGGAGGAAGGGGAAGAGGGAGGAAGGGGAGAGAGGGAGCAAGGGGAGATGGAGGAAGGGGAAGAGGGAGGAAGGGGAGAGAAGAACGGAAGGGGAGAGTCGCAGGAAGAGGAAAGAGGGAGGAAGGGGAGAAAGAAGAAAGGGAAGAGAGAGAGGAAGAGGAGAGATGGAGGAAGAGGAGAGACGGAGGAAGGGGAGAGAGGGAGGAAGGGGAGAGAGGGAGGAAGGGGAGAGAAGGAGGAAGGGGAAAGAGGGAGGAAGGGGAGAGAGGGAGGAAGGGGAGAGAGGGAGGAAGGGGAGAGAGGGAGGAAGGGGAAAGAGGGAGGAAGGGGAGAGAGGGAGGGAAGTGGGAGAGAAGGAGGAAGGGGAGAGAGGGAGGAAGGGGAGAGAGGGAGGAAGGGGAGAGAAGGAGGAAGGGGAGAGAGGGAGGAAGGGGAGAGAGGGAGGGAAGTGGGAGAGAAGGAGGAAGGGGAGAGTGGCAGGAAGAGGAAAGAGGGAGGAAGGGGAGAAAGGAAGAAAGGGAAGAGAGGAAGGAAGGGGAGAGAGGGTGGTGGGGGAGAGAGGGAGGAAGGGCAGTTAGGGAGGAAGTGGAGAGAGGGAGGAAGGGGAAAGAGGGAGGAAGGGGAGAGAGGGAGGAAGGGGAGAGAGGGAGGAAGGGGAAAGAGGGAGGAAGGGGAGAGAGGGAGGAAGGGGAGAGAGGGAGGAAGGGGAAAGAGGGAGGAAGGGGAGAGAGGGAGGAAGTGGAGAGAGGGAGGAAGGGGAAGAGGGAGGAAGGAGAGAGAGGGAGGAAGTGGAGAGAGGGAGGAAGGGGAGAGAGGGAGGGAAGTGGGAGAGAAGGAGGAAGGGGAGAGTGGCAGGAATAGGAAAGAGGGAGGAAGGGGAGAAAGGAAGAAAGGGAAGAGAGGAAGGAAGGGGAGAGAGGGTGGTGGGGGAGAGAGGGAGGAAGGGCAGTTAGGGAGGAAGGGGAGAGAGGGAGGAAGGGGAAAGAGGAAGGAACGGGGGGTTAGGGAGGAAGGGGAGAGAGGGAGGAAGGGGAGAGAGGGAGGAAGGGGAGAGAGGGAGGAAGGGGAGAGGGAGGAAGGGGAGAGAGGGAGGAAGGGGAGAGAGGGAGGAAGGGGAAGGAGGAAGGAAGTGGAGAGAGGGAGGAAGGGGAGAGAGGGAGGAAGGGGAAGGAGGAAAAGTGGAGAGAGGGAGGGAAGGGGAGAGTGACAGGAAAAGGGGAGCGACGGAAAGGGAGAGAGGGAGGAAGGGATGGGAAGGTGGAGGGAGAGTTTGACACAAGGGGATAGAGAACAAAGGAGTGTGTGGTAAAAAGGTACATAGAGAGAGACAAGGAGAGGTGGAATGACAAACACTGCAGGATGGAGGGAAGTGGGAGGGAAGGTGGGGGGTGGAGAGGAAGAAATTGAGAGACAAAGAGGAAGAGAGAGGGGGAAGGGTACAGAGAGAAAAGGAGAAAGAGAGAAGGGGGAGAAAAACATGAGGGAAAGTGGAGGAAGAGTGTGAGAAAGGGGAGAGGGAACTAAGGGAGTGAGTGGGAAGCAGAGACAGAGAGTGGGAGGCAGGAGGGAGAGAGAGAGGGAAGTGTGAGGGAAAAGGAGGGAGAGTAAGGAAGGGAGAGGGCAGGGGAGAAACAGGAGTAGCAGGGAAGCAAGGAGGAAGAGAGAGGGAAGGGGAGTGAAAGAGGAAGAGAAATGGGAGGAAGTGTGAGGTTAGGAAGAAGTAAGAGGGAGGGAAGGTGCAGTGAGAGTATGGGAGTGAAGGCAGGAGGGAATGAGAGACAGGAAGAGGGCAGGAAGGAGGACAGAAAGGGAGAGGGGAGGGAGAGGATGGAAAGGGGCAGGGAAGGATGGAATGGGGAGGGAGAGAAGGGGGAGGGAGAGGCAGGGAAGAGGGAAGGGGAGGGGAGAAAGATAATAGGAGGAAGACAGGGAGGAGGGAGGAGGGAGAGAGAAGACTGGGGATCAGGATGGGAAAGAAAAGAGGGCAGTAAGGAAGAGGCAGGGAAGAGGGAAAGAGTGAGGGGCAAGGGTGAGGGACAAGAAGAGGAGGGAGCTAGGGAAGGAGCAAAGGGCAGGGAGAGTGTGGGAGGGAGGATGGGGGAAGAGAGACAAAGAGGGAGGGAGAGAAGGGGAACAGAGAAGGAAAAGGGAGGGAGAGATTGAGCAAAGGGGGAGGGAGACAGAAGGGGAGGGAGGACATGGAGGGAGAGAATGAGGACTGGAGGGAAAGAGTGTGGAAGGAAAGCAGGCAATAAGGGAGATGCAGGGTCAAGGGGAGGAGTGAGAGGGAGGGCGGAGGAGAGGCAAGAGGAGGAAGAGAGGCATGGAAGTAGAGAGCATGGGAGAGAAGGGAGGAGGGAGAGACACAGAGGGAGGAGGAGAAGGGGGACAGAGACGGCAGAGGGAGGAAAGATTGAGGAAAGAGGGAGGGAGTGACAAAAAGACAGAGGAAGTGAGAAGGTAGGAGAGGGAGAGGGGAGTAAGAAGGAAGGAAATAAGGAGAGAGGCAAAGGTGAGGGGAGATGGGGAGGGGATGGGGAAGGGAGATGTAGGAGGGAAAGAAGAGGGAGAGTGTGTGAGGGAAAGGGGAGAGCAGAGGGAGGGAGAAGGGAGGAGGGAGAGAGGGAAGGGGAGGGAGAGAATGAGGAAAGGGTAATTGAGAGAGGGAAAAGGAGAATATGCAGGCAAAAGAGGGAGAGGGACTGGGGAGGGAAGAGGGAGACAGGAAATGGGGAGGGAAGAGGGAGAAGGATAAATGAGGAGGAAATCGGGGAGGGAAAGTGTGCGTGAAGGGGAGAGAGGAAGAGATTGAGGTGGAATGAGATAGGGAAAGAGGGAGAAGGAAGGGGAGGGAAGGGAGAGGGAGAGTTTGATGAAAGCAGAGGGAGGTGGAAATGATGGGAGAGGGGAGATGGAGGGGGGAGGGGAGAAATGGAGGGAGTGAGGGAGAGGTAACAGTGATTGAGAGGGAAGGAAGAAAGGAAAGAGGGAGAGAAGAGTGGGAGTGTTAGGGAAGGGAGGAGGAAGGGAGAGAGACAAAGAGGCAGAAGAGGACAGAGAGGGAAGGGGAGGGAGAGAATGAGGAAAGAGGGAGGGATGGAGAGAGGGGGAGGGAAAGAGAGAGGGGGAGGAAGGAGAGTGAGGGGAGGAGCGAAGTAAGGGGGAGGCAGGGAAGAGGGAAGGAGAGGGAGAGACAAAGTGGGGGGAAGGGGAACAGAGCAGCAATAGTGAGGGCGGAAGCATGAGGAGAGAGGGAGGGAGAGAGGACTGGAAGGGAGTAAAAGAACTATGGAAGGGCCAGGGGAGGAGTGGAGGGTGAGAGAGAGAAGGAGAAAAGTGGGAAGGGAGAGAGGGAAGGGGAGTGAAAGAATCCAAGGAAGTGAGGGAAGGAGCGGAGGGGAAGAAAAGAGGGCAGTGAGGGAGAAATAGGGAGGAGGGAAAGAGTGAGAGACAAGGGGAAGGAGAGGGAAGAGGAGAAGGATGGGTAAGAAAGGGGAGGGAGAATGTGGGAGGTTAGAGAGGGGGAGAGACAAAGTGGAAATGGGGACACTGAGAGAGGGAGTAGGGAGGGAGAGAATGAGCGAAGGGGAGGGGGAGAGACAAGGGGAGGGCAGGGAGAGAATAAAGAAAGGGGAGGGAGGGAGGGAAAGAAAAGTGGGCAGGAGAGAGAGGGAAGAGGGGAGGAGGAGACGGAGGAAAAGAAGGAAGAGAGGGAGAGAAGGAGGAAACAAGACAGGAAGGAAGAGAGGGAGAGAAGGAGGAAGGGAAGGATTTTCCATCTGCTGCTGTACTGCCCACGCGGTGCAGTGGCTGGGGCTGTACTAGACCAAACAGGAGCCTACTCAGGGCTACCCAGGGATGTCAGGGCCCAAGCACTAAGGTCATCTAGCTGCTTTCCTAGGCACATGACAAGGGAGCTGGGCTGGAGTTAGAGGAGCTGGGATTTGAATTGGTGCTTGTACAGACTGCATGTCATAGGTGGCAGTTTTACCAGCTGCACCCTTTGTTTCATTTCCAAACTTTAAGTGAAATTACGAAGCTGAGTTTGGGGAATTATGCTTCAGTCTGACTGTAGAGTTCCTGCATTTTCGTTTTTCTCTTAGAGCTTGATGTGCTGAGCTGTTGAACTTGAAATTCTTGCTGAAGTTGACCATGATTTATGAGAATATTTGAATTATCATAAGGAAAAAAACAGAAGGAAAAGATAAGCTTACGATGTAATGGCGTACAACTTGTACGCCCAAAAGATTGCTTAATGGGTGACATGTTTCCCTGTATCTGCAATTTGTTTACAGGAAGAAAAGAAATGCCAATAGAGAGGATGGACAGCACTCCTACTGCAAAAGGAGTAAGATAAACCCGGACATCCAGGATTCTAAAGACACAGAGGTAGGAAGTAGGGTCAAATAAGCTCTATTTCATGCATTGCCAATCTTGAATAGTCCAATTGGTGATGGGCAGTGAAAAAGATTTCTATATTTTGAATATTGTGTTCATATCAAGAGAGCAGATTTTATGTATATCAAAGATATGCAACATCACTACTTGGGGACACTGGAGGGTCTAGTGTTTCAGAAAACTCAGGACTGAGAAAATTGTTGGACTTCTCTATGATCTGGCCTTTGCGTTAAGGTCTTACGCCTGTTTGATTCCTGTTGCTGGAGATCTCACATCAAACTTTACTTGGCCACTCCTCTCTCTTCCTTGCATGGTTGTTTCAGTAACTACGATGTTACTGATGCTATAAAGGTGAGCATGGGCTATTCTGATAGCTGTGGTCAGAGTAGCTCCAAATGACCATCACAAGTCTTGGTTTAAAGTCTTGTTAGGTTAGGTTTGGAAACAAAGGCCTTCTAAGAAATGTGGTAACAACACTGTGAATGCAGATAAAAGGGCCCTTGCCATCAACTAATCCTTTGAGGATGCTGACTTTGCAAAGGCAGGTACTTGCAAAACACAGATGTTTTCAGGGGACACTCCAACTTGGCAAAGACCCCGATTCATAGTCATAATCTTTTAAAAATTACTTTACTCACATGAAGTGAACAAATATCATGCAATTCACAGTACTATTTTAAATGGGCCTATTAATGCTTCCACCCCCACGCAACCTCCTTCCCATGTTCCCCATTGACACTCTTCCTTCATGAGTAATACCCAGAGTACCCACTACGTCATTTCTTGGAGTAAGATCAACATTTTAGGAATTACTTTTGACCGCCTTTGTCAATGCTCTTGAGAAAAGAATCTTAAGCACAGACACTCTCCCAAAATCAGTAATGTAAAGGAGCTGTGACTACTCCTCATCCAAAACTGACACTCACGTGTCAGTGTGACACTCACCAAAGACTTGTCAGATGCCTCTCAAGCTACGTGTGGACTTTTGAATTGGAACTAGAAGGCCGCATATATTCACTGTCAAGATTCACGCACGAAATTATCATGCATTTGTATATGCGTGCATATGCATGCCTGTGGAAGTAAAGGTGTGCATAAAGAATTAATATACTGTATTTCAACTTGTCAGCACAGCCTACCTCATTGCATGGTGATTATTTCTATCACCCTGTGGTATTGTTGGGGCTGCCAATTCTCTTACATTGATTATTGCAAGAAGCAGTATGTCTAGCATAGAGAATATGTGCAGGGAATTGGAAATAGGAGGTCTGTGCTTGATTTCTCCCTCTATCACATCCAAGCCAGGCGACTTTGGGCAAGTCAGGAATCTCTTTCCACATTTGCAAAATGAAGGCTCTGATTTCCCCCTTTAATTTGCACAGTTGCTGTGGTGACAGAATGAGCTATGTAGAGTGTTTGTGCTTGGTTCACCAGGAAGCCTGGTCTAGAGTGGGACTCCAGTATTTCCCAGGAGCACTAGGAAAAAGTGTTGTAGAAGTGTTGTCATGATCCTACGGCAGTCTTTCTCTTTGCAGTCCTCGAGCAGCCATAATGAAAGGAGCAGTGACCCCAACATCCCAGAGACTTCCAGTGAAGCGAGAAACATCTCAAACTGGACCATCACTGAAGCCAACCCGCAGCTCCCTCAGTCCTCAATGGATGAGCCTACCCTAAGCCAAGACTATTACTCCCACATCAACCAAATCTTAAGGGAGGCTCACTTTAACAGTATGCAGCTGCGAGGGCAGTGTCCAAACAAATGAACCTGCACCTTCTTCAAGCCTGAAATGTGCTTACGAGAGCAGCTGCATTCAAAATAAAATCTGGGCATTTGCAGTCTAAATGTTAAATAACTGATTAATGAACACTTGTTCATTTGGAACTCAGTACACTGTTGCAAATGAAAGGGGGTTTGAGGAAATGCTTTACAAGATTCTTTTCAAATAGGGGGCCAAAGTAAAGAGATCATAACGATGGGGTGGCGTGGTGGGTCAGTAGGTTCAGCTGCCACTTGCAATACTGGAATGCCAGTTGGAGGCCTGCCAGCTGCACTTGCAATCCAGCTTTTGATAATGTGCCTGGGGAGACAAAGGAGGACGGACCAAGTACTTGATCCCACGCCGCCCTCGTGGGAGACCAGGATGGGGCTCTGGTCTCCTTGCTTTGACTTTGCCCAGCTCTGGCTTTTGGGGTCATTTGGGGAGTGAACCAGCAGATGGTAGACCTGTTTCATTTCTCCTCTTATTCCTCTCTTTTTCAACATTCAACCTTTCAAATACATTCATAAAACATCATTTTTAAAAAGATTTATTTATTTTTTTAATTGCAAAGTCAGATATACAGAGAGGAAGATCTTCTGCCCGATGATTCACTCTCCAAGTGACTGCAACATCTCATTGGATTACGTTAAGGGTTTTGTTCCCGGTGTCCCTGGAGCCCCACCAGGATCTACCGTCACACAAAATTCAGTTTTACCTTATAAACAGAGACTGACACGAAACGTAAAAACGCTGTTTGACAGGGAGAGAGACAAAGAGATGAGGGACAAGGAAAAAGTGAATGAGCAAGTGAGCTCTCACTTGCTTATTCGCTTGCAAAATGCCCACTATGGCCAGGACAGGGCCAGACCTCAGGCTGGGGCTGGGAGATAGTTCTGAGTTTCCAACACGGATGACAAGTGCCCAGGTGTTTCAGAGGCACCATCTGCTGGCTCCCAGGGTGCACGTTAGCAAGAAGCTGGAATCAGATCTAGAGGCCGACCCGCATGGAGGCCATCACACACTCTGTATATTTGGGGAGGTATCCCTGTTGGCTCTTTCCAGTATAGTGCACAGTTGGCTTCATCGCAGTCACCCGCACGAAACAGATTAAATCTTCCTGGTTTCCCAGGGTAACATCTAACCCACATGCCATAGCCTCCAGGACGAGGATCGCAGCTGACCGGGTCACAGCTGCAGCCCCAGAGCACATGATAAGCCCTCAGTCAGTATCAGAAGAATGGATCAGAAAAGGAAGGGGAGTTTGTGCACACATTTATAGAGTGGTTTCCAGAAGGAATGACACAAAGCACAGCTGTAGCAGGAATGGACCTGGCAGCAGGCCTTCTGAGAAAGTACCGAGGAGGCAGCATGGTGGGCTCCAGCCATCCTAGTGACAAACATGGGTGTTGGACAAGCAAAGTGACAAAGTGAAATGGAGGAGTGGAGGAATGGAGAGGAAGGGAGAGCGAGCCTTACAACCCGCCAGATCAGTTCTCAGAGGCCTGAAGCAGCTGAGGCTGAATCAGGTGGAGGCAACATCTGGGAAGTCCACCCACAAGAATCCCACCACCTCGTGCCTCCCAGGGAACACATTAGCAGGAAGCTGGAATTGAAAGCAAGAATGACACTCCGACCCAGGAACGCTGATCCTGGGTGTGGGCATCCTAACCAGTGGCTTCACTGCCAGTCGACAGCTGCTACAAAGGTGAGCCTTGACACCTGTGCCTACAGGAGGCCATGATCTCTGTACAACAACTTCCCTTAGGAAGGTTAGGGACAGAGAATCCTCTGAATCCTTTACTTCCCTTCCATTTACTGCACCCAAATCACAGTGAAGGACAGAAAGGCCCTAGATGATGTCGGCAGAAGGGGTGAGGAGAAAAGAGAGGTTTCTGACCAACAGGGCGTCTGTAAGGCTTGACCAGCACAACAGGCTACCCTCACACAGCTTGGCCCTTGAGAGAAGCACCTGGCTTCCATGCAACATTGGAGGCTTGGGTTAGAAACAGCAGGAGGATGTGCTGGGTGGCAGCGTTAGGCAGGCAGCATTGGCCATCTTGGCAGAAAGTCCATAAGGAGAACACAATGTCCCAAAGTGCTGTGCAGAAGACTGACAGCCCTCAGCAAGTCCTGAGAGTGGTGGGCCCTGCCACCTGGTGGAGACACCTAGGAAATGCGAGGGAGAGACAGAGCTGAAATGAGCCACACCCTGGCAGGAGCAGGTCTTAAGAGAGAGAGAGAGAGAGAGAGAGAGAGAGAGAGATGGTGTGTGTGTGTGTGTGTGTGTGTGTGTGTGTAACTCTCCGCTTGTCTCTCTTTGTAACTCTGCCTTTTAGATAAATGAACCAGAAAAAGTCCTTGCCACGAAGGTGGTGCCTTTGCTCAGTAGCCCAGCCTCCTCCGGAGGCACTGCCATCACTCTTACACTCTTAGCACAGATTCCGGTGCAGGACGCTGAGACCCTGCTTCCTGCTGTTGAAGCACTGGAGGGTGCTGCGGTTCCTGGTGCCACCAAACCCACATGGAAGACATGAAGGAGGCTACTGGCTCCAGGTTTCAGAATGGCCCGGCTCTGGCCAAGCAGCCATTTTGTGAGTGAACTAGCAAGTAAAAGATTTCTGTCTCTGCTCCTCCATCTGTAACTCTTTCAAATAAAAATAAGTGTTAAAAAAGAAAGTCATTCTGTGATTGCTGCTGTCATGGCGCAGTGTTTTCAGCTTCCCATGACATTGCTGGCATCCTGTATCAGATGGCAATTTGACTCCTGACCACTCTGCGTCCAGTCCGGTTTCATGTTAAGGCTCATGGGAAAGTGGCAGATAATGTCCCAAGCACTTGGGGCCTCGCAGCCCATGTGGGAGACCTGGATGGACTGCCTTCCTTCCGCCTTCCATCTGGCCCAGCACCAACTGTTTCAGCCATTTGGAGATGAAATCAAATCTGGAAACTGATCCTCTTACTCTCCCCGCTTCTTCTTCCCTTCTCCTCCCCTGCCTCTCATTCCTCACCCCTCCTACCTCCTCTTCCTCCTCACCTCCCTTTCTCCTCTCTGCATTTTAAAAAAGGAAAACACAAAAGGCATCCCTGGCCCCCTTGCTCCATGTTTCACTTATTCCATGTGCCTTAAGACCTAGGTCCAGCACTGCCGTCACAGAGGCAACAGGCCAAGTGTAAGGTGAGTCCACTGAGATGTGATAATTGCATGATTGTGTAACAAGCCACCGCCTGCTTTCATCTTCTTGTCTTCTGCCCTTATTCTATATGATTTGCCGAGTTCATCTTCTCCTGCTTTTGCTCCTGCACTAGTTCTCTGGGACCTCAGAACAGCACTTAGAGCTTTTGTCCTTTGTGCCAGTGGTACAAGTGACTCTGAAATATGTGAATGTGACTTGGACATAAGCAGCTCTGAAAATCAGCTAGCTGCTGAGCCAGTTTGCCTGTGATGAAACGTGAACCCAGTGGCCATGAGAGAACACAGACTGGTGCATACTGGCGGGGTGTTCACTCATTGCGTGCACAAGAACGGCATGACATCTCTTCTCCCCCAAAGCGCGAAATTCTCCAAAGAATTGAGCTACTACAAGTCTCTTTCAAATCCCATTGCCGTTGTTTGGGGAGAAAGACAATTGGGCTAAGGTCAACTAGAGAAGCCTTGCGTCCCTTATTCAAGAGAGTTTGACCTTGACAAAGCTGGAGTGAGTGCTGCTGGGACGTCCTTGCATGTCTTTTCCTTCCAACAAACTCTTTCAAAGGTGGAAATGCTCCTTGGGAAGTGAGGAGTCACTTCTGGGCCAAAATGACAGGTGTTCTGGGAGAACATGTCAGCCAGAGGACTAAGAAGCTTTAAGCCTCAAGAAGACTCCATGGCAAGAACTGCGTGGTAGGGAATGGATTTGTGTTGTCTGGTGCAATAGAGGGGCAGTGTCCAGGGAGGGAGAGGTGTGCAAGGGCGTGGGGAGGAGAAGTCCCAGTGAAGAGGGATAGCATCCTGCAGAAATAAAGCCATGCATTTACATGCAACTGATCCTTGACAAGCAAGCTGAAATCAATCGCTGGAGAAAGGGCAGTCTCTTCAACATGCAGTGTGAGGAAAATTGGGTCTACACATGCAGAAGTATGAAACATGACCTCTACCTCACACCTGTCACAGAAATCAACTCTAAGTGGAACAAGGATCTGAATCTATGATGGGATACCCTCAAATTGACAGAGGGACAATCAGGGAAACTACAAGACTGGGAAAGACCAAGACTTCTTGGGAGAGATCGCAGACATGCATCAAGCTGAAAAGTTTCTGCAATGCAAAGGAAACCATCAGCAAGAAGAACAGGCAACTGACAGATGAGATTTTCAACTTCAGTGGCAGAGAACAGGTTAATACCCCAAATCTATAAGGAGCTCAAGAAATTTCACAAAAATGAAATCAAGGAGGCAGTTACTAAGTGGGCAAAGGACATGAACAGGCCTTATTGAAGCATGAATTTCCAATGGTCAAGGACACATAAAATAATGTGGTGACCACTAGCCATCCAGGAAATGCAAATAAAATCCACAGTGAGGTTTCTCATGACCCTAGTTACAATGACTCCCATACAGAAACAAAAAAGCAAAAGAATAACTGCTAGTAAGCATACGGGCTAATATGCACCATATCTGCTGATGAGGATGTAGGGTAAAGTGTGCCACTGTTGCTGGTAAGGTAAACCAGTGCAATGGAAGATCCTATGGAGATTTTGCAGGTATCCGAACATATTTATCTACCATATGACACAGGTACCCCACTAGTGCTTCTGAAGGGTGCCACCACAGTGGTCAGAGAGTGGCAGGCCAGCGGGCCATCGGTTCCTAGACATGCTACACACAAATGAAATCAGCATAAAAGAGGGTTATCTATACTTCCATGGGCACCATAGTTCAATTCACCCTAGCTAAGACACGAAACCAAGCTAGATGTCTATCAACGGTGATTAGATAAAGAAAATGTGGTATGTACATTATGAAATGCTACACAGCTGCAAAAAGAAATGAAACCCTCCCCAGCTGTAGGCAACTGCCTAGGTTGCCTTGTATCTAGCAAGTACTACACTACTCTCTCTCTCTGTCTTTGTGTGTGTGGGGGGGGCAGGTTGTCATTTCCCCTGGGATTTTTCCTGTGTGTGCTTATAGAATCCAAGATTTCAGAGCAATCTGTTCTTCGATCCTGGGCAGAGGTGTGCCATCCTGGGGCCCTGTGTGTCATGTGGCACCAGTAGCCGTCTGTAAGCCGGTGACATGCCTGCCTAGGTTCCGACATCCATGCAGCCAGCAATAGCCATCAACATCGGTTGCTCAGTGTCATGGCAACTCAGTGATGCACAAAGCCTTACCATAGTTGTGGGAGTCCAGCTTAATTCAGAAATTCCATTTTCAATGGTCTTGACTTTTGCCAGTACTGTTTCCTAAAACTTATCTTCTGAAGGGTAGCTAACTGGTTCTCTGTTCAATTATCTTCCCCAGAATCCTCTTCCTCCCACTTGACAAAAGAGAAGCCCCCCTCAAACATTTCCAGCTTTATAAGGCACTGTGAAATGGACCCTGTGCTAAGCGTCTCCAGGCATCAGAAGAAGTACTTGAATATTCATGTGAGCCATGTCCTTGTGCACAAACACTCATGAGCACGGGTGTGTTTGATCAACTCTTATTACGTATAAATTCTCTGCTCTTTGGTAGTCTTTTATAAGCAACAGACCCATCTTAGTACAAGTTCTCACACAAACGACAAATATTTAGAAACACACAAGAGCCATGTGGTGCTGCTTCTGGTGCTATTTCTCCCCATTGTCTAAGGGTCGCTGCACCCAATTAGTCAAAAACGACTGTGGAAACCAGAAATTCTGTTTCCACCAATTAGTGACTGGAGCTAGGCACTGGTTATCGGCATTGTCAGCACCAGCCCAAATGAACATGCACACACAAGGACAACAATATAGGTGTATTTTTCATGTCAGAATAAAGCACTACCTGTAGTCACTGGAATGTGGTCAAGCCTCTACATCTGGCTACTAATGCACAGAAAATGCAAAGCCATGATGATGTGCTTGAGGCATTGTCTGGAAAATTCAGGCTGAGGGCAATTACAGTGGTTGAATGACCTGTGTTGTCCAGCATCCAATACCAGATGGGGAGAGGACAAATGCTGGGAGAATCTTTGGGTTAGGACACTGAATGACACATCAAATAAAAAGTTCCTAAAAGACCAGCCATGGTCACAGCAGTATGATTTAAACTGACCACCACCCCACATTCATACACCACACATTCATATACCAATGAGCAGAGAGAAAAATGTTGTACAGCAGACCAAATCTGAAAAGTGAAGGAATTCTCACACCTGATACAACATTGCTGTACCATGAAGGAACCTTGAGAATATTATGCCAAGTGGCAGAAGCTGGCCACATAAAGACAAGTGAGGCAGAACTCTATTTGTGTAAGATAGGAAATGCTGATACAATGAATGAAGACAGAAGGTGGAATGCTGGTGGCCAGAGGCAGTGGAGCAGAGAGGGGCGAGGTGTGGTCCTTTAGTGGGGGTATAGCTGCAGGTGTGCAAGGTGAAAGCGTTCTGAACATGTGTTGTACAACAACGTGAGCACCTTCGACACTGACAAATGGCTCAAAATAAAGCAACTATGCAGTTGGGGAGCAGGTTAATGGATGCCCAACATTTGGGACGATGCTGGGTACAATTGGTGGGTATGGCTACCAGGGGAAAGCCCAAGAATGATTTTTATGGTGATGGGAGAGTCTGGAAGCTTGGCTAAAGTGATGGTAACACAAAATAACACAGGATAAAATGACAGAAAAGGACATTCTCCCATTGAACACATGTTGATTTTTTTTTTCTAAAAACAGTGGAAGATGACCCCAGTGTTCCTTGGGCCTTTGTAACCACATGCAGTCATTTGGGGAAGTGAAGTGGCAGATGGTTGATTTTTCCCTATCTCTCCCTCTTTTCTCTCTCTTCTTTCCTCCTACTTTCCTTTTTCTTCTTTTTTTAAGATTTATTTTTATTGGACAGTCAGATATACAGAGTGGAGCAAAGACAGAGAGGAAGATCTTCTGTCCGCTGATTCACTCCCCAAGAGGCTGCAATGGCTGGAGCTGAGCCAGTCGGAAGCCAGGAGTCCGGATCCTTCTCCAGGTCTCCCCTGTGGGTGCAGGGTCCCAAAGCTTTGGGCTGTCCTCAACTGCTTTCCCAGGCCACAAGCAGGGAGCTGGATGGGAAGTGGAGCAGCTGGGACATGAACCAGTGTTCACCTGAGATCCCGGTGAGTTCAAGGTGTGGACTTTAGCTGCTAGGCTGTCACGCCGGGCCACCCCACCTTCTTTTCCCCTCTCTGTCTCTCTGTAACTTTGACTTTCAAATACATTAATAAATCATGACAAAAACTCAAAATGCGCATGCATGTGAACACATAACTGTGGTCCATTAGATGTAGTGCTTCCTTTAGCACCCAGTGGAGAAGAGTGAAAGCATTTTGAAAACAGTAAGTCAGAGACACTGCATAAATGCTTTACACTTTATTGACAGCAAGGCAAGGCCGGGGAGAGAAGCCAAAGCCCAAGAAAGGAAGAGGTCAGTTTGCGCTACAGGATGAGTGTTCTGGAGAATCCAAGAAAAGCACTGCTACCTGGATGCCCTTGTCTGAGGTTGATTCCTGCCTGCATGCCCTGGAAGGAGGCTGAAATGGCTAGAAGAAAGGTGGAAGTGGATTGAACACCCCACTAATGGAACAATTTGTCATGTAGCTGGTGCTATTACTCGTCCTGACCTTGTTTTGAAAAGGATTGCGGTGTTGATAGGATGCCATTCTCAGAGTCACTCTGGCCAGTCTTGCAGGAGTCCTCAAAGTGTCTTGTTGCTTTTCTGCAGCCGCTTTCTTTGGCTCTTCTCTCTTATCTGTACCCTCTCCTGTAGAAGAGGGGGCTGGATGGCACCACTGCTGAGTGTCAAGTTACTGAGTTCTTGGGTCAGCTTATCCCAGGAGGAAGAGTGAGGGCTTGCTTTCTTCCACGTTGAGCTCCCAGAAGTGCTCCCCGTATACCGCTGGCAGTAATGGCACTCACACTTGAATCTCTCTTGGTCCACATCACGTGAGGAAGAGGATTTTGCTTTTCTGTCAACCCAATATGGAGCCACAGTCTTCATATATCTCTGTCTCGTGTGTTCGACCAGCCCTTTTTTATTTAGAGGTGGCCTTGAACTATCGCACTGCCACTCTTCTTCCATCTTTTCAAGGGGGATAAAAAGAGAACAGAAAACATGTATTAGAAGCACTAGGAGTCTATTCAAAACAGGTCATGCTGTATACCATGCCCAGAACACCCCACATCACAACCACATACATTTCAGGAAGAGGCAGCAACTGATTCCTACATTTCTAATTAACTGTTCCGGACATTTCTTTTGGACTATGCAAGTAATTTGGCCTGAACATTTGGAATGTAGGTCTTGATTTATTTTCCGGTTTGTTGACATAAGAGCTTGTAGAAGAGGACAAAATAGCCCAAAGAGAAAGTCCTTGGCCACACGCTTGTTTCAGTAGGCAAGTTTACATGTGTTATCCTCCCAACCATTTGCAACATATGCCTCAAATCCAGTCCTAAACATACTGAGCGCCCGTCTCATGATCTCCCTCATGCCACAGAATATGATTCAAAGGAGAACATGCAGCCTGCCTCTGAAGTAGGTGCTGAGAGTGAGGGTGTGTTACATTGATCAAAGTTCCCCCACGTGCTTTCAGAGTAGTGCCACTTAATGTTGCATTGCTGAGCGGGAACAGAAGCTTAGTAGAGGTATGGCATCACCATCAGTTTCAGTGGCAGGACTGGAATCCGCAGGAGTTCTGCATCATTCCACCTCCTGTGTCTATGACAACTGTGAGTGCGGGAGTGGAGGCTGCTAAAAATGAAGGGGCAGCCAGGCTCAGGTCATGGAGAGCATTGTGTGTGCTAGTGAGAGCAGCAACAGAGGAAAAGACCAGCTGACTTGGCCTGTAACATTCCCCATCCAGCCAACGGCTGCGATCTCACTAGGGACACAACCGAGTATGAGCCCAACTGATCCATGCACCATATCGCCTTATATAGCTGCACCTGTTAAACATGGACAGACACTTGAGTGTTGGGGATGTGAGGGAGGACTCTTGCAAGGCCATCTCCCTCACTGAACCTGTTAGCCACCTATAGACAAAGCATAATAAAGTTCACCATTCACAGGCTATGTGTGACACGTCAGCACAAGTCCTGTCTACTATGGACATTTTTGGACAAGCCGCAGTTTTACTAAACCCGAGGCTAAGGAAATAATTGCACAAGTGGATACACAACTATGCATAATTAAAGATGATTGTCCCACTGTGTGTGTGGGTGTGTGTGGGTGTATATGGGTGTGTGGTCATGTCTAAAGGGCACCGACGAGGATTTGGTTCCATGCTTCACACAATACGATAGAATGAGATCTGCTTAAAGATCTGAGTGTGCTTTCCAATTTGTCATGTCACACTCACAAAGTGACACGGTAGAAACGGGATTAAACAGCACACTGTGTTACTTTGACTCCCATACTGTTCTCTCCTTCTCAACCATCTTCTCTGCAGCTCCTCCCCCTACCTCCCCTCCCCCCCCCCGGACAACTAGTCAAAGCCCAGGTTGTGACTTCTGTGGCAGTTCTTCCAGCCAGTTCACCCTGATTCCATGAATGGTTGATCCCTTTATCACAAGCAGGATTTGTGCTCAACATCCAGATACTACTGCACCACCCCATGTCACCACTTTGGAAATAAGTGAGACACCACTCACGTTTATTTTGACTCTTGAGCTCTGTGTTCAGAACACATTTACAAAAACTTACCTGCTTAGATGTGTCTTCGGGCAACCCAAGGAGTCAGTGATTTTTACTACAATACACCTCTGAGTATGCTGCCCACAGCAGCTGTTTTTGTGCACAACTTATTTTCTGGAAGGGAGACTGTCGTGGAGGTTAGCTCTGTCCTGTTCAGAGGGCTCTATGGAGAAAAGAAATGCATCCTTCACATGTCATGAAGAGCAAGACACATCTGTTAACCCGGTGCCATTCAAAAGTAGCGTATCAGTGTTGGTGGCACAGTGGAGATGTTTGTGTTGGCCACAATAGACTCTGGAGAGCAAAAGACAGCCCGTGTAATACCTATGCAATGACACAATGGTGAAAGGTCTCCATCTTGCAGGCACCAGCCTTTGTTTCCAACTGTTACCCAACACAGCCCACATGGATGGTGATGGAGGGCTTTCCTGCCTTGAGGCGCCCATGCTGTTTCCATTTCAGTTTGTCCAAGCCCTGGCCCCACTGCTGCCCCAGTCATATCTAGAACCACCCTAGCTCAGCTACTCTGTAACTGCCTTCTTTGTGTTGGTTTGGCATGCTCCCAGCAAGTTTGATAACTGATGGAATGTCACCATTGCTCATCAGCAGAATACCTTTGTTTCTCACTTCCCAGCTAGTCACAGGCCAAAGTTGGGTCTCAGTTCTCCCATATGCTGAGACTGAGGCCTGGAGCCAAAGGTTAGGGCCTAGGCTTGGGTCCCATGGGGTGCTGCACCCAGGCAGAATGGAGACAGGAAATTCCCGAAAACCTTGGCTCAGAGGACACGCTGTGCTTTCCTAGCTCAGGTATCACTGTTGGTCTTCAGGGCAGGGTCTGCCTGACACAATGGATGATAGGTTCATTGCAGTATCTCACATTATGTGCACCTACAGGCAGGGGATAGGGGCTCAGTGAAACAGATGATGTGTGACCAAGAAGCAGGTGGGACACAAGCTGAGTGGCCCAGCTATGAACAAGGAAAAGGACCTGGGTGCTTCGCAAGTTTCCCAAGCACTGGCTCATGTTCTTCAGCATTTTAGGACAAGCTTACAAGGCATCTGCATCCCCCATCTTCAAAGTATCATGCACACTTGAAAGCTTTAATTTTGCAGTATGCAATGCCTATATTCCCATTCTCATGCCATGGTCATAGGCTTGCAGCACCCACCTACTCCAGCGAGAATCATAAATGGGGATGGACACAGTAAGGGTTCCTCAGCATTGCCCCAACTATGCTGTATCACTTACTGGTATGTGCAAGAAACTGGGCTGGGTTAGGCTGCAACCCTACCAGTTCACATGAGAGCCAAGGCTATGGGTGGAAGTGACCAGGGAGTTGAACCCACTGGTACATGCATTGGCAAATACAGGAGTTTAAACTGATCCTGGCCCTCCAGCAGCTGGCACACACTACAACAAAATCTGAGGACCTCCAAGGTGAGGTTCCTTAAGAAGCTCCCCAAATACCTGCTATACTTGATCCCTGACCTCATAGAAAATACCTTAGACATGAGGTCTGACTCCAGAGAACATGTTGCAGGAATGAGTTGTCACAATAGCTAACATTTGTGCAAGCGTGGAGATCACCCAGGTGAACACAAAAGACAAGATCACCAGCTCATCTAAACCAATGCAGGACTCTGAGTACCTCATCCAAAGATGCAAAGGACGGGTTGAATAACACTCAAGGCCAAGCTATACCACAAGCACCTAGGTCTATGGGCACACTGACATAGACAATGACAGTCAACAGGTTTTATAAAGAATTTCTCATCTCTGATTTAACAAAGACAATGCCTCAGAACAATCAAGATCACACAAGTAACACAAGTGGGACATTCTCCCCTTCTCTGGAGCCTAAAGGCAACAGTAAAAGACCATCTCTGTTTCTCAACACTGATGTTGTATGACAGCAAATAGTGTCAGGGAACACAGGAGGGAAAACTGAATCATTTATCTCACCCACCTTCTCTTTTTCCCACTTCCTAAATGACACAGGAGGAGAAAAACTGATTTAGTTAACTCACTTACCTACCCCCACCACCTAGTCCCTGCATCCTAGTTGGAGGCCCACAGGTTTCTAACCCCGCTTACCCTCCTAATAAAGAATAAAATAAAACTTTAAATCTTAAAAAGAGAAGTCCTTCCTTTTAACTTGGCTGAGTTCTATATGGCAATATGGGAACCAGGAGTGCCTTCATACCCATGCCCAATGATGCCTCATGTGTCCCTGGAGCAGATTTGCACATTACTCCAATGGGAAAACATCTGTTTCTATACTGAGCTAATTTTGCCTCAACACCACACCAAACTAGTACAGATCACTTGGTTAAAACAATAGAAATTCACATTCACAGTTTCTGTGCATCGCCTATTGGGATGGAGCTCTTAGGGTCCTCTGTCAAGGGTCTGACGAAACCTTGTGTGAATGTCAGGAGAACTGTGTTCCTTGCTGGTGGCTAGGGTTCAAGCTGCTGCCTGCCTCATTCATGATCCCAGGCAACCCCTTTCCCTGTAGCTTTAGCAGGGGGAGTTCTTGCTCCCTATTGCCTGGCAGCTCTGGGCAGGATTTCTCTTGGAGTTGCCCAAGTTCCTTCTCCTGCCCTCACTGCTCTGCCTCCTCCAGCTGGGTCCCTCCTCCATAAGTCTGGGTCTCTCCCTAGTAACTGTACACATCAATTCTAAGTGGCTGTTGTCTTTTCTAAGTGATGGTGCCCAAATGGCTCCAAGTGTCATAGGAAGTCTCCAGATCCTGGTTTGCCAACCACAATGAAGCAAAATGCTCAGTACATGCAGTTCTAGGTGGCAGACAGGACAGTGAAGCTGGAATACAATCAATGATCCACTTAGAGTCCCATGCTCCACCACTCACCACCTCCATCTTCCCTACCAGTGCAAACCACACTGGGCTACCACATGAGAGAAGCAGTGACCGGCTCCTGACCTGGTGATAGGAGGACCTCTTCTCTCTTTCTTTTTCTTGACTACCTCCACGCTGGTCCCGATGCCAGGTAGTACTTTGGTTCTTCTGGCCACATAACAGTGGCAATGCTGCCCCTGAAGAAGGACAGGTGTTTTCCTTCCCAGAGCAGATGTCCTCTTTGGGGCTAGACAAGCTGCCCTCCCCTACACACAACTGTATGAGAGCAAAGATGTCAAGAGCCACTGAGGAAAAGGCAGGCCCTCCCCACTTCCAGGAGTGGGGCTTTACATACCTAACAAGATGAGCCAAGTCAAGAAGTGTCCTGAATTTACTTCCTCTATGTCTGGTGTGGCAGAGGGGAAGACCAGGGTCTTGATGGTGACCAGCTTCTTGGGTAGTATGTCAGGCCACCAGGATTTTCTCGTGCCTTTCATGTGAAGCAGATCTCTACTCCTTGACTGC